TCACTGGTAGATGTCCGTGTGTAGTATGTCACGTGTGTAGTATGTCACAGTGTGTAGTATGTCACGTGTGTAGTATGTCACAGTGTGTAGTATGTCACAGTGTGTAGTATGTCACTGTGTATTGTCACGTGTGTAGTATGTCACTGTGTGTAGTATGTCACATGTTGTAGTATGTCACGTGTTAGTTGTCACTGGTGTGTAGTATGTCACAGTGGTAGTATGTCACAGTGTGTAGTATGTCACTTGTGTGTAGTATGTCACGTGTGTAGTATGTCACAGTGTGTAGTATGTCACAGTGTGTAGTATGTCACTGTGTGTAGTATGTCACTGTGGTGTAGTATGTCACAGTGTGGTAGTATGTCACTGTGTGTAGTATGTCACAGTGTGTAGTATGTCACTGTGTGTAGTATGTCACAGTGTGTAGTATGTCACGTGTGTAGTATGTCACAGTGTGCTGTGTGTAGTATGTCACAGTGTGTAGTATGTCACGTGTGTAGTATGTCACTGTGTGTAGTATGTCACATGTGTGGTAGTAGTGTCACATGTGTGTAGTAAAGTCACAGTGGTGTAGTATGTCACTGGAGTAGTAGTGTGTAGTATGTCACAGTGTGTAGTATGTCACAGTGTGTAGTATGTCACAGTGTGTAGTATGTCACGTGTGTAGTATGTCACTGTGTGTAGTATGTCACAGTGTGTAGTATGTTTACAGTGTGTAGTATGTCACAGTGTGTAGTTTGTCACTGTGTGTAGTATGTCACAGTGTGTAGTATGTCACAGTGTGTAGTATGTCACGTGTGTAGTATGTCACAGTGTGTAGTATGTCACTGTGTGTAGTATGTCACGTGTGTAGTATGTCACAGTGTGTAGTATGTCACAGTGTGTAGTATGTCACTGTGTGTAGTATGTCACGTGTGTAGTATGTCACGTGTGTAGTATGTCACGGTGTAGTATTCACTGTGTAGTATGTCACGTGTGTAGTATGTCCACTGTGTGTAGTATGTCACAGTGTGTAGTATGTCACAGTGTGTAGTATGTCACAGTGTGTAGTATGTCACTGTGTGTAGTATGTCACAGTGTGTAGTATGTCACGTGTGTAGTATGTATCTAGTGTGTAGTATGTCACTGTGTGTAGTATGTCACTGTGTGTAGTATGTCACTGTGTGTAGTATGTCACAGTGTGTAGTAAAGTCACGTGGTGTAGTATGTCACTGTGTGTAGTATGTCACAGTGTGTAGTATGTCCAGTGTGTAGTAGTATGGTTTCACTGTGTGTAGTATGTCATGTGTAGTATGTCACAGTGTGTGTAGTATGTCACAGTGTGTAGTATGTCACAGTGTGTAGTATGTCACTGTGTGTAGTCATGTCACTGTGTGTAGTATGTCACAGTGTGTAGTATGTCACAGTGTGTAGTATGTCACTGTGTGTAGTATGTCACCTGTGTGTAGTATGTCACGTGTGTAGTATTTCTCAGTGTGTAGTAATGTCACTGTGGTAGTATTAGTCACTGTGTGTATATGTCCTGTGTGTAGTATTCACAGTGTGTAGTATGTCACAGTGTGTAGTATGTTACAGTGTGTAGTATGTCACTGTGTGTAGTATGTCACAGTGTGTAGTAAGTCACAGTGTGTAGTATGTCAACAGTGTTTAGTATTCACTGTGTGTAGTATGTCACTGTGTGTAGTATGTCACTGTGTGTAGTATGTCACTGTGTGTAGTATGTCACAGTGTGTAGTATGTTACAGGTGTAGTATGCACTGTGTGTAGTATGTCTCATGTGTAGTATGTCACAGTGTGTAGTATGTCACAGTGTGTAGTATTTCACTAGTGTGTAGTATGTCCACTGTGTGTAGTATGTCACAGTGTGTAGTATGTCACTGTGTGTAGTTATGTCACGGTGTGTAGTATGTCACAGTGTAGTATGTAGTAGGTCACAGGTGTGTAAGTATTACAGTGTGTAGTAATGTCACTGTGGTGGTAGTATGTCACTGTGGTGTGTATGTCACTTTGTGAGTATGGTCACTGTGTGGTAGTAATGTCCACAGTGTGTAAGTAGGTTCAGTGTGTAGTATGTCACAGTGTGTAGTATGTCTCAGTGTGTAAGTGTATGTCACAGTGTGGTAAATGTCCACAGTGTGTATAGGTGGTTACAGTGTGTAAGTTATGTCACTGTGTGTAGTATGTCACTGTGTGTAGTATGTCACTGTGTGTAGTAATGTCACAGTGTGTTAGTAATGTCTCAGTGTGGTAGTATGGCACAGTGTGTATAATGTCACTGTTGGTGTATATGTGTCACTGTGTGGTAGTAATGTCACAGTGGTGTAGTATGTCACGTGTGTAAGTAAGGTCACTAGTGTGTAGTATGCTCACTGTGGTGTAGTATGTCACAGTGTGTAGTAATGTCCCTGTGTGTAGTATGTCACTGTGTGTAGTAATGTCACAGTGTGTAGTATGTCACAGTGTGTAGTATGTCCCTGTGTGTATATGTCACAGTGTGTAGTAGTCACTGTGTGTAGTATGTCACAGTGTGTAGTATGTCACAGTGTGTAGTATGTCACTGTGTGTAGTATGTCACTGTGTGTAGTATGTCACTGTGTGTAGTATGTCACAGTGTGTAGTATGTCACTGTGTGTAGTATGTCACAGTGTGTAGTATGTCACAGTGTGTAGTATGTCACAGTGGTATATGTCACGTGTGAGTATGTCACAGTGTGTAGATGTCACTGTGTGTAGTATGTTCCAGTGTGTAGTATGTCACGTGTGTAGTATGTCACTGTGTGTAGTATGTCACTGTGTGTAGTATGTCACTGTGTGTAGTATGTCACAGTGTGTAGTATGTCACAGTGTGTAGTATGTCACTGTGTGTAGTATGTCTCAGTGTGTAGTATGTCATGTGTGTAGTATGTCACGTGTGTAGTATGTCACAGTGTGTAGTATGTCACGTGTTAGTATGTCACATGTGTGTAGTATGTCTCAGTGTGTAGTATGTCACTGTGTGTAGTATGTCCTGTGTGTAGTATGTCACAGTGTGTAGTATGTCACAGTGTGTAGTATGTCACAGTGTGTAGTATGTCACTGTGTGTAGTATGTCACTGTGTGTAGTATGTCACAGTGTGTAGTATGTCCAGTGTGTGTAGTATGTCACTGTGTGTAGTATGTCACAGTGTGTAGTATGTCACTGTGTGTAGTATGTCACGTGTGTAGTATGTCACAGTGTGTAGTATGTCACTGTGTGTAGTATGTCACGTGTGTAGTATGTCACAGTGTGTAGTATGTCACGTTGTGTAGTATGTCACAGTGTGTAGTATGTCACGTGTGTAGTATGTCACTGTGTGTAGTATGTCACTGTGTGTAGTATGTCACTGTGTGTAGTATGTCACAGTGTGTAGTATGTCACAGTGGTAGTATGTCACTGTGTTAGTATGTCACTGGTAGATTGTGTGTAGTATGTCACTGTGTGTAGTATGTCACTGTGTGTAGTATGTCACAGTGTGTAGTATGTCACGTGGGGTAGTATGTCACATGTGTGTGTAGTATGTCACGTGTGTGTAGTATGTCACATGTGTGTAGTATGTCACTGTGTGTAGTATGTCACTGTGTGTAGTATGTCACAGTGTTGTAGTATGTCACAGTGTGTAGTAGTCACAGTGTGTAGTATGTCACTGTGTGTAGTATGTCCAGTGTGTAGTTATGTCACAGTGTGTAGTATGTGTGTCACTGTGTGTTAGTATGTCCAGTGTGTAGTAGTCACAGTGTGTAGTATGTCACAGTGTGATGCTTTGTGTAGTATGTCACAGTGTGTAGTATGTCACTGGTGTAGTATGTCACTGTGTGTAGTATGTCACGTGTGTAGTATGTCACTGTGTGTAGTATGTCACAGTGTGTAGTATGTCTCAGTGTGTTGTAGTTATGTCACAGTGGTGTATGTCACTGTTGTATGTCACAGTGTGTAGTATGTCACAGTGTGTAGTATGTCATGTGTGTGTACGTGTAGTATGTCACAGTGTGTAGTATGTCCAGTGTTGTAGTATGTCACGTGTGTAGTATGTCACGTGTGTAGTATGCTGTGTAGTATGTCACTGTGTGTAGTATGTCACTGTGGTAGTATGTCACATGTGTTAGTATGTCACTGTGTGATTCAGATATGTCACTGTGTGTAGTATGTCCACGTGTGTAGTATGTCACAGTGTGTAGTATGTCACGTGTGTAGTACATGTAGTATGTCACAGTGTGTAGTATGTCACTGTGGTAGTATGTCACAGTGTGTAGTATGTCACTGTGTGTAGTAGTCACAGTGTGTATATGTCTCAGTGTAGTAGTAGTGTATACAAGTGTGTAGTATGTCACAGTGTGTAGTATGTCACTGTGTGAGTATGTCACTGTGTGTAGTATGTCACAGTGTGTAGTATGTTCACAGGTGTAGTATGTCACGTGTGTAGTATGTCACGTGTGTAGTATGTCACTGTGTGTAGTATGTCACATGTGTTGTAGTGTCTCAGTGTGTAGTATGTCACAGTGTGTAGTATGTCACAGTGTGTAGTATGTCACTGTGTGTAGTATGTCACTGTGTGTAGTATGTCACTGGGGTACGATACAGTAGTAGGCTGTCTGTTGATACCTGCAGCTCATAAGACCTCCAGACCTATTCCTGTGTGTTGGGGTTAAGGGTCAGGTACCTGTAGTTCCTGTGCCTTCTTGGCCCCCTCCTGTTTGAGGGTGTTGGGTTAGGGGTTAGGGGTTAGGGGTTAGGGGTCAGGGGTCAGGTACCTGTAGTTCCTGTGCCTTCTTGGCCCCCTCCTGTTTGAGGGTGTTGGGTTAGGGGTTAGGGGTCAGGTACCTGTAGTTCCTGTGCCTTCTTGACCCCTCCTGTTTGATGGTGTTGGGTTAGGGGTTAGGGGTTAGGGGTCAGGGGTCAGGTACCTGTAGTTCCTGTGTCTTATTGGCCCCCTCCTGTTTGATGGTGTTGGGTTAGGGGTTAGGGGTTAGGGGTCAGGGGTCAGGTACCTGTAGTTCCTGTGTCTTCTTGGCCCCCTCCTGTTTGATGGTGTTGGTCATCCTCTCCTTCATCTCAACCAGGACGGCGAATAACGTATCAAACTCCTCCTCCAGGTCTGACACTACTTGTGTGGAGTTCACCTGTCAATCACACATAGTGATACACCTGTCAATCACACATAGTGATACACCTGTCACAATCACACATAGTGATACACCTGTCACCATCACACATAGTGATACACCTGTCACAATCACACATAGTGATACACCTGTCACAATCACCACATAGTGATACACCTGTCACAATCACACATAGTGATACACCTGTCACCAATCACACATAGGATACACCTGTCACAATCACACATAGTGATACACCTGTCACAATCACACATAGTGATACACCTGTCACAATCACACATAGTGATACACCTGTCACAATCACACATAGTGATACACCTGTCACAATCACACATAGTGATACACCTGTCACCATCACACATAGTGATACACCTGTCACAATCACACATAGTGATACACCTGTCACCATCACACATAGTGATACACCTGTCACAATCACACATAGTGATACACCTGTCACAATCACACATAGTGATACACCTGTCACAATCACACATAGTGATACACCTGTCACAATCACACATAGTGATACACCTGTCACAATCACACATAGTGATTCACCTGTCACAATCACACATAGTGATACACCTGTCACAATCACACATAGTGATACACCTGTCACAATCACACATAGTGATACACCTGTCACAATCACACATAGTGATACACCTGTCACAATCACACATAGTGATTCACCTGTCACAATCACACATAGTGATACACCTGTCACAATCACACATAGTGATACACCTGTCACAATCACACATAGTGATACACCTGTCACAATCACACATAGTGATTCACCTCTAAACCCAGAACCAAATCTCTGCATCACTAGAGTCTATAGATTCATTAACATTTCATATTTGATTTGATTGATTAACATGGCATATTTGGCAAATGGAAATTCCTGTACAAGATTGTGATTTCACTGTTAATATTGCTTCTTTATGTTATGTTTAATGTAATTCAATGAATTTAGAGTGTTATTATGTATGTCTTACCTGGACACCAGCCAGAGAGTGGCTAAGTGTTTCCATGAAGTTATGGAGTTCCTCATTTTTATTGGCCAACGTGGTTATTATCCTTTGCAGGGCCTCCTGAAATAAACATTACGTATATGTTAAAGGGTCTGCAATCCATCAATACATTGAAAATACATTGGCCTACGATTGTATTTCATGCCAATCAATCACATATTCAAATTGCTTGTCAGGTTTAGAAGTTCACCCATGACCAATTATAACCTCCCACTGATTGGCTGACTGTCCTCTTGGTTCCTGCCATACGACTCCTGCCCTGCGTCAGCACCCATGACCAATTATAACCTCCACTGATTGGCTGACTGTCCTCTTGGTTCCTGCCATACGACTCCTGCCCTGCGTCGGGCATAGGAAGAAATGGTACTGTGACTTCCTTACCAACATCAGAAGTATCAGAGTCAGAATCCACACAGCAGGCTTACAATACGTTAGCCAGGGCACACAGCCAGGACACTCACCCAGGACACACAGCCAGGGCACTCAGCCAGGACACACAGCCGGGGCACTCAGCCAGGGCACTCAGCCAGGGCACACAGCCAGGGCACACAGCCAGGACACTCACCCAGGACACACAGCCAGGGCACTCAGCCAGGACACACAGCCAGGGCACTCAGCCAGGGCACTCAGCCAGGGCACTCAGCCAGGACACTCAGCCAGGACACACAGCCAGGACACACAGCCAGGGCACTCAGCCAGGACACACAGCCAGGGCACTCAGCCAGGACACACAGCCAGGGCACTCAGCCAGGGCACTCAGCCAGGGCACTCAGCCAGGACACTCAGCCAGGGCACTCAGCCAGGACACACAGCCAGGGCACTCAGCCAGGAGACACAGCCAGGACACTCAGCCAGGACACACAGCCAGGGCACACAGCCAGGACACACAGCCAGGGCACTCAGCCAGGGCACACAGCCAGGGCACACAGCCAGGGCACTCAGCCAGGGCACTCAAGGCTTCATCTGCAGCGTTTCTGGAGGGCTGCCAGATTCAGGATCAGCACCCGCAGCTCCACTACTCATCTAAAGCTATTTCCTGGTGCTGTGTGTAGCGAGCCGCGTGTTGGAACTATGGCCACACATAGTCCAGGCTACACGCGATTTGTATAAATCCTGGCCTAATTTTTCTTGTGTTTCTACATCGAGTCATATTCAGTAACCCACATCATGATGAACTCACCCTAAAGGCTGGTTGTGAATGGCCTACATAATAAGTCATGCTGAAACTTCACAACTGCTCTGCTCTCTACTTGGACCGCCTGGGAATGGAACATGGTCTTTGTACTGTCTCTATGCGGATGGATATCTGGCACCAACGCAGTGCCTGGGTGATTTTCCAAATGGTACCCTATTCCTTATATAGTGCACTGGGGTCATCTCCATGTGAATGGACCCATGAGCACCAACAGGTTCATATCAAATTGGGTGTCAAATAAAACGCTAAGAATTTATATTTTGGGGGAAATGAAGGCATAGATATATTTTTCAACCATTTTCCATTAAAGAACATTTGCATAAGCAATGGTAAAGGGGTCTTAGAAATCCAAACTATCTACCAGAAAAAGTCTTAAAAGCTATTAGAACTACATCAAAACACAATAATGTTGAAGACCCCTGCCAGCTATTATCAACACTTACAGCGCCTTCGGAAAGTATTCAGACCCCTTGACTTCTTCCACATGTTGTTACGTTACAGCCTTATTCTAAAATGGATTAAATAAATAAAAATCCTCAGCAATCTACACACAATACCCCATAATGACAAAGTGAAAACAGGTTTGTAGAAATGTTTGCAAATGTATTAAACATAAAAACAGAAATACCTTATTTGCATAAGTATTGAGACCCTTTGCTATGAGACTCGAAATTGAGCTCAGGTGCGTCCTGTTTCCATTGATCATCCTTGAGCTGTTTCTACAACTTGATTTGAGTCCACCTTTGGTAAATTCAAATGATTGGACATGATTTGGAAAGGCACACACCTGTCTATATAAGGTCCCACAGTTGACAGTACATGTCAGAGCAAAAACCAAGCCATGAGGTCAAAGGAATTGTCTGTAGAGCTCCGAGACAGGACTGTGTCGAGGCACAGATCTGGGGAAGAGTACCAACACATTTCTGCAGCATTGAAGGTCCCCAAGTACACAGTGGCCTCCATCATTCTTAAATGGATGAAGTTTGGAACCACCAAGACTCTTCCTAGAGCTGGCCAAACTGAGCAATCGGGGGAGAAGGGCCTTGGTCAGTGAGGTGACCAAGAACTCAATGGTCATTCTGACAGAGCTCTAGAGTTCCTCTGTGGAGATGGGAGAACCTTCCAGAAGGACAACCATCTCTGTAGCACTCCACCAATCAGGCCTTTATGGTAGAGTGGCCAGACGGAAGCCACTCCCCAATAAAAGGCACATGACAGCCCGCTTGGAGTTTGCCAAAAGGCACCTAAAGGACTCTGACCATGAGAAGCAAGACTCTCTGGTCTGAAGAAACCAAGATTGAACTCTTTGGCCTGAATGCCAAGCGTCACGTCTGGAGGAAACCTGTCACCATCCCTACGGGGAAGTATGGTGGTGGCAGCATCATGCTGTGGGGATGTTTTTCAGCTGCAGGGACTGGGAGACTAGTCAGGATCAAGGGAAAGATGAACGGAGCAAAGTACAGAGAGATCCTTGATGAAAGCCTGCTCCAGAGCGCTCAGGACCTCAGACTGGGGCAAAGGTTCACCTTCCAACAGGACAACAACCCTAAGCACACAGCCAAGACAACGCAGGAGTGGCTTCGGGACAAGTCTCTGAATGTCCTTGAGTGGCCCAGCCAGAGCCCGGACTTGAACCTGATCGAACATCTCTGGAGAGACCTGAAAATAGCTGTGCAGCAACGCTCCCCATCCATCCTGAGAGAGCTTGAGACGATCTGCAGAGAAGAATGGGAGAAACTCCCCAAATACAGGTGTGCCAAGCTTGTAGCGTCATACCCAAGAAGACTCGAGGCTGTAATCGCAGCCAAAAGCGCTTCAACAAAGTACTGAGTAAAGGGTCTGAATACTTATGTAAATGTGATATTTCTGTTTTGTATTTTTTATAAATTATCAGAAATGTCTAAAAACCTGTTTTTGCTTTGTCATTATTGTAGATTGATGAGGGAAAAAAAACAATTTAATAAATTTTAGAATAAGGCTGTAACGTAACAAAATGTGGAAAAAGTCAAGAGGTCTGAATACTTTCCGAAGGCGCTGTATATTTGCATCTGGAGAAATGATTTGCCTTCTGTAAGTTTAAGAAACATTGTCCTATACAACAAAACCCATATAGTGTATCTTCAAGATATTCAAGATAAAGAACGTTCACAGAAGTAACAAGTAAAGGTAGACTTATCAATTAGTTCTAGTGTTTTAACTAATATACCTTTTTATGAATTAAGTGATTAAAAATTCTGAGACCAAATCGGTAACAGAATGACAGACAAATCATCAACAATGGTATTACTACAGTTGAACTGGCTACAATGGGAACTCAAAATAGTCACAGACCACAGTTGGGTCTCCTGCTACTGTCCTCCTTCCAGTGGTATACTGTTATGTTCATCTCATAGGGTCTCCTGCTACTGTCCTCCTTCCACTGGTATACTGTTATGTTCAGCTCATAGGGTCTCCTGCTACTGTCCTCCTTCCACTGGTATACTGTTATGTTCATCTCATAGGGTCTCCTGCTACTGTCCTCCCTTCCACTGGTATACTGTTATGTTCAGCTCATAGGGTCTCCTGCTACTGTCCTCCTTCCACTGGTATACTGTTATGTTCAGCTCATAGGGTCTCCTGCTACTGTCCTCCTGCTACTGTCCTCCTGCTACTGTCCTCCTTCCACTGGTATACTGTTATGTTCAGCTCATAGGGTCTCCTGCTACTGTCCTCCTTCCACTGGTATACTGTTATGTTCAGCTCATAGGGTCTCCTGTTACTGTCTTCCTTCCACTGGTATACTGTTATGTTCAGCTCATAGGGTCTCCTGCTACTGTCCTCCTTCCACTGGTATACTGTTATGTTCAGCTCATAGGGTCTCCTGCTACTGCCCTCCTTCCACTGGTATACTGTTATGTTCAGCTCATAGGGTCTCCTGATACTGTCCTCCTTCCACTGGTATACTGTTATGTTCAGCTCATAGGGTCTCCTGCTACTGTCCTCCTTCCACTGGTATACTGTTATGTTCAGCTCATAGGGTCTCCTGCTACTGTCCTCCTTCCACTGGTATACTGTTATGTTCAGCTCATAGGGTCTCCTGCTACTGTCCTCCTTCCACTGGTATACTGTTATGTTCAGCTCATAGGGTCTCCTGTTACTGTCCTCCTTCCACTGGCATACTGTTATGTTCAGCTCATAGGGTATCCTGATACTGTCCTCCTTCTACTGGTATACTGTTATGTTCAGCTCATAGGGTCTCCTGCTACTGTCCTCCTTCCACTGGTATACTGTTATGTTCAGCTCATAGGGTCTCCTGCTACTGTCCTCCTTCCACTGGTATACTGTTATGTTCAGCTCATAGGGTCTCCTGCTACTGTCCTCCCTTCCACTGGTATACTGTTATGTTCAGCTCATAGGGTCTCCTGCTACTGTCCTCCTTCTACTGTCATGTTCAGCTGAACTGTTCTCTCTCTCTCTCTCTCTCCCTCCCTCCCTCCCTCCCTCCCTCCCTCCCTCCCTCCCTCCCTCCCCCGACTCTTACCAGCATTGGAGCATTGACCGACACCGGATGTTGAAAAGTAGTTGAAATTTGATCAGTCCGCCATGGTCTACAGACGTTGAAATTTGGTCCGGACCGGCCTTGATTTGCCTCAAACATAGACATCCATGATTGGTGACCGGACCAAATCTGAACCAATCATAGACGTCTAGGTTTCACAAGTCTGGACAGCAGAGTAGAGAACAGTGAAGAAAAGTAGTTTATAGTTAAGTACAGTACACTAGAGTAGAGTACAGTAGAATGTAAAATACTGTGAGGAACTCTACTACTGTACTGAACTCTACTACGATGTGGTGTACTCTACTCTAGTCTAGTCTAGTCTAGTCT